ATTAACATTTTCAGGGAAAAAAGCCTAAGTACGGAACTTATACGACAAAAATTGGTTTTCCTAAAACACCTGTATTCCATCATGACAGATATAAGTTTATTTGACACTTGAAATAATCACTTTTATCAATCAAAGAATATAAAATTCTTTAACCCTTGACAAGATTAGAATTAGGCCTTCAGGTGAAGATGATGGTAACTTTACCGATTTAATGAAGGGCTAAATTCCACCAAATTCATATCAAATAAATTCAAACTTTTATTTTGAAACAGGTTAAATGTTTGTATATACTAAAAGGAGCAACATTAAAAATATATTATTTATACCGTTTATTAACCAGAAAATAAATTCTTATGAATTTCATAATTAAAATGAAATGTTGAGCTTACTTCAATTTCGAGTGAAAGTGTTTGGTGAAGTGATTTGTAGGTCGATTCCACCAGAAGACGACGGCGGATTCCTCTTGATTAGCTGTCGATTGGATTTGCTGGAACCTTCATGCTGACGCTGTTTCCAAGGTAATCGTCCTCGATTCCGGTGAAAAGGTGCTAATATTTTGTTCGTCATATCACGACCATCATCAGAGCCTGATATTATTCTTACAACCAAATTTAATCTAACGAGTGCATAAAATTCACTGACAAATCCCTAAAACGCTGTATATATATTGTATATTTGGCTTTTTTAATGAGGCATTAGCATACACACAATGAATCGTCAAAATAATATGAAGGTAGTTAAACTTAGTGACAATTGCTCTAGCAAAAATACAGTGGTCAATCTATCAAATACATCTTTACATGATAATGTTACGTTCCTCTTGGAAAGGAGAATAAGCTTGAATTGGTTGAATTAATTAACTTAACCGAAATGTTGCCAGATAAGGCTAGGAATAGTATGGAAAGCGAACTGATTAGTCAATTTGATCAAGTAATTATTCCAAAGAATACTTATGCTTCGAATAAGATTTCTAGATATTTGCATCAAAATGATCTGCTTGTTTTAAAGGCAGATAAAGGTGGTGCAGTGGTCATCCTGGATAGGTTAAGTTATATGGAAAAAACTATCGTTTATTTAAATGACTTAAAAGCTTGCAGACTATTGATGAAGGATCCCACAGAGGCTCTTAAGGCCCGACTTAGGGAATCGCGTAACGTGTGTGTAAACAGAGGATAAATTGATAAGTGGAAAAGGAATTCGTTTCTTCAAAGGGATATATTTTTAATAATAAGGGAAATATGTTGCATAGGATTTCACACTTCTTATACAGACAATTAAGGAAATTGTCTGAGTATTAGAAATATTCAGTAAAGAATTCATATGCATTTGCTAGATTAATAGATCAACAGAGTTTTAGAGAGGATGATCTTTTGGTTAGTTCTGATGTTGTATCAATGTATACTAACATCCTAGTTCATAAAGCTAATGAAGCACTAACACTCAGCTTAAATGAGCACCCAGAAATAATTAGGGA